GTCTGGGAGGGTTCCGTCCTCGACTCTGAGGAGGGTATCCGATTCCGTGGCAAGACCATCCCTGAGTGCCAGGAGCTTCTCCCCAAGGCTCCCGGTGGCAAGGAGCCTCTTCCCGAGGGTGAGTTTGGCCCATTCGCAGTGATGCGCACAAAGCTTCATACTATCATGAATACTGACATTAAACCGCGCAGGTCTCTTTTGGCTTCTCCTGACTGGCGAGGTTCCTACTGAGCAGCAGGTTCGCGACCTCTCCGCTGAGTGGGCTGCCCGCTCCGATCTTCCCAAGTTCGTCGAGGAGCTCATCGACCACTGCCCTACCGACCTTCACCCTATGGCCCAGTTCTCTCTGGCTGTCACCGCTCTCGAGCACACATCCAGCTTCGCCAAGGCTTACGCCAAGGGTATCAACAAGAAGGAGTACTGGGGTTACACTTTCGAGGATTCCATGGACCTCATTGCTAAGCTCCCCAACATCGCTTCTCGCATCTACCAGAACGTCTTCAAGGGCGGAAAGGTCGCTCCCATCCAGAAGGACAAGGATTACTCCTACAACTTCGCCAACCAGCTCGGCTTCGCCGACAACGCCGACTTCGTCGAGCTCATGCGTCTCTACCTCACCATCCACACCGATCACGAGGGTGGTAACGTCTCTGCCCACACCACTCACCTTGTCGGCAGTGCTCTCAGCTCTCCTTTCCTCTCTTTGGCCGCTGGTCTCAATGGTCTCGCCGGTCCCCTCCACGGTCTTGCTAACCAGGAGGTCCTGAACTGGCTCACTGAGTTCAAGAAGTCTGTCGGTGACGATCTCAGCGACAAGGCCATCACTGACTACCTCTGGTCCACCCTCAACGCCGGCCGTGTCGTCCCCGGTTACGGTCACGCCGTCCTCCGAAAGACTGACCCTCGTTACATGGCTCAGCGTGCTTTCGCCCAGGAGAAGATGCCCAACGACCCCATGTTCAAGCTCGTCTCCCAGGTCTACAAGATCGCTCCTGGTGTCCTCACCGAGCACGGCAAGACCAAGAACCCTTACCCTAACGTCGATGCCCACTCCGGTGTCCTTCTCCAGTACTACGGTCTTACTGAGGCCAACTACTACACCGTCCTCTTTGGTGTCTCTCGCGCCATCGGTGTTCTTCCCCAGCTTATCATTGACCGCGCTCTTGGTGCCCCCATTGAGCGACCCAAGTCTTTCTCCACCGACAAGTGGGCCGAGCTCGTCAAGAAGCTGTAAGGAGTTTAAAAATGAGAGGGAAAAAGGAGATGGGAGGATAATGCCCAGAAGATGGGCAGAATGGATTGCCAAGTTAATGGCATTTGTACAACACAATGGGACTGTTTTAGTTTAGTAATGAGCAAGTCGTCGCGGCGCGCCGATTGAAATGAAATGATTTAACAGTTAATCTGCAATTTTCGTGTCTACGTACTGATGCCAAATCATGACTACGATCGAGCTCTTTGCAAAGACGGTTGGGTCAACTGTGTGTTCATATCCATACAGCATGTTCACTAGCGCCGTGATGGCATCGTTATCTCGAAGTTTTTTTTCGCCTTTGGTGGAGACGAGAATGTTGACCCCATGAAAAGTTCCTTACATTAGCCAGCCTTGCAAGCCGGGACAACTCACCAGTGGAATGCCCATGATTCCCGTTCAAGCTTTCAAGGAGACTCGAGAATTGTTGAACTCTCTCTCCTATCTGCAAAAAAACCCCTGCATCGTAAATGTGACAAGTGAATAATGTGTACGTCACGTAGTCTCGGTGAGAGATTACACCGACAAAATCCCATGTGGGATCCATCAATTTCAGGGACCCGAGCTCTCAACAGTCTAGACATCCCTTCAATCGGTTGGGTGGAGGAGGGGCTTTGAGAGCTCCTGGCCCTCTAATTCGGCGCCACAGGGGGACGAAAATAGAGGTGAGAGCTGTGATCTTCGGGGGATGGCTGAGGTTATTGCCCGATGTGGAAGTAAGAGAGCTGCGAAGCTGCTGGATTGACTGTTTGAGATGTATGTTTCAAGGTGTAGTGAATTGCTTGCAGTTGCGAGTGATAGTGAACTGGGTTAGCTGTGAGTTGTTGGGGTCTAGACTTGAGAGCTTATGATAACTGTGCTCAGCAGTTGTAAAGCAATCTGGATCCTTTTTGGTGAGTGAAAGTATGGAGAGCTTCAGGAGTGGGTGGGCTTGGTCAGTCTTATGAATGAAGAAGATGAATACAGAGAAGAATCTAGAAAATCATTATCACAAGCAAATCTGCTCCCGCGGGATCTCTCTGTCGGCCATTGAACCCCAGGCCATCCACCCCCGGATTCCGATTTCACATGAGAGATCCAATCCAATCCACGGGAGCTGATGTGATCTCGGTGACTTGATCTCGGCGATCCGAGACTTTCGGAGCTGGAATCAAGTCGTACAAGGAAGTGAAGTCTCCGAAGAGGGTCAATTGATTATTCGGAGAAAGGTCAGCATTACGAAAAGTTACTATAGATGATATTTGATTGCCATTTCTTCCTTTTCTCTTGTTGTTTTCTAAGAATAGTGTTGTGGCTCTCAGCTTGTTGAATAGCGTCGTCAGCCTTATAAATGTGCCAACATGAGTAAGTACAGTGGCTTCACCCAAAATAGACGAGAAACATACACCGAAACACATGCAAAACATGACTGATTAACTGAGCTTCTCTCTAAGCTCGGGTCTTCTCGCGCATGCCAATCTCCAGTTACAGCTTCAACCTCGGCGATTGACCTCCGCAACCGCAGGAAAACTCCATCTATTGTTGGTATTTCCCCTCCGATAAATCGGCTACTTCTCCGGGGCCCCCAAGCTTATTCTGCTTAGCCTCAGCTCAGCGCTTTTGCAGCCATCCATTCAACTGTTTTCATTGGATCTGACTCAGCATTTAGGTGTGCTTCAACACCGGTACGTACCGACAGTCCCTCAATCCCTAGCTCTCCCGGGTACTGCTCCTTCCCCCCCACGTAAACCAGTCCCAGCACAGCACACGCCTCTAGCTCTCCCTTTTCCCTTTCTTTCCCGAATTCTTATACATTTCTTTTCTTCCTCTTTCACCAACATCTCTCAATACTTCAACGATCCCCCAAATTTCCCCAGCGACGAAGCACCCTAATCCCTTGGTCAGGGCCCTTATTCTACGACACTCCCAAAGTCATGGCTGCTACTATCCGTACCGATCTTCCAGCTCCCATTGGGGACAAGCAGCTGGAGAAGAAGCCCATCAAGTTCTCCAACTTGCTTCTCGGCGCTGGTCTCAACCTCTTCGAAGTGACCACCCTCGGACAGCCTCTTGAGGTCGTCAAGACCACCATGGCTGCCAACCGAGGTGACAGCATGGCTGCGGCTTTGGGACGCGTCTGGGCCCGTGGTGGTCCCCTAGGCTGTAAGTTTGATAACCACGAACTCGCTACATTTATGACTATTTACTGACTCACATGTTGCAGTCTACCAAGGTCTTATTCCCTGGGCCTGGATCGAAGCTTCCAGCAAGGGCGCCGTCCTTCTCTTCGTCGCCTCCGAGGCCGAGTACTATGCCCGTGTCGCTGGTGCCTCTGAGTTTGGCGGTGGTATTCTTGGTGGTGTCACTGGTGGTGTTGCCCAGGCTTACGCCACCATGGGTTTCTGCACCTGCATGAAGACGGTCGAAATCACCAAGCACAAGATGGCTGCCACCGGTGTCAAGCCTCAGTCTACCCTCCAGACCTTTGCTGAGATCTACCGCAAGGAGGGTATCCGTGGCATCAACAAGGGTGTCAACGCTGTCGCTATCCGACAGATGACTAATTGGGGTAGCCGATTCGGTCTCAGCCGTCTCGCTGAGGGCTGGATCAAATCTTTCACTGGCAAGAAGGAGGGCGAGAAGCTGTCCGCTGGCGAGAAGGTCATCGCCAGTGCTCTTGGTGGTGGTCTCAGCGCGTGGAACCAGCCCATTGAGGTCATCCGCGTCGAGATGCAGAGCAAGAAGGAGGATCCCAACCGCCCCAAGAAGATGACGGTCGGCAACACCTTCAGGTACATTTACGAGACCAACGGCATCAGGGGTCTTTACCGTGGTATCGCTCCCCGTATTTCTCTTGGTATTTGGCAGACTGTCTGCATGGTTGCTTTTGGCGATATGTAAGTTTCACCCACTTTACTAAGATTCAACCGATACTAACCGCACGACCTACAGGGCGAAGACTTATGTTGAGAAGCTGACCGGCGAGTCGGTCACCGCTAAGCATTAGAAGGCGTTTAGGAATCTGGTTTGAAAATATCGCTCATGGTGAGCTTGATGTATGGATTGTCTAATGTTTGGATTCGAATATCTCTGATGTAATGACACAAGCCTGTGAAAAGGCCGTGACAAAGGAGGTGCTCTCGCCTTGAAGATTATCTTTCTATGATAGTAAGCTGTGCCAAGTCATGGACCCTGTGGGTTTGACTTGAATAGAGAGAACAATTGCGCAATGTTTAATTATCACTCGTGTTGACCTTTATTCTGAGTCTACGGTTTAAAAGACTGCAGGTCACTCATATAATCTCAGTAAGAATACCCTTGTTTAAGTAGGCTCTTCACAATTGTTATGATTTCTTGCTATCATGAAGCTGCCATGATATTGTTGAGCTTGAACCTATGAGCTCGGGTTGTTTCGGGTCTGAGCGTTGAGTAGTGGGGTTGGTCAGTTGAGAATACATCTCGCCGATCTCAGTTCTTGAACCTTAACTATAGGAAGTAGCATAATAACTGCCAGCTGGGATCAAAACAGCCTGAAGTGCCACATATACTTCCTCGTCTCACTTGTATGGGGCTGAAGGTGGACATATGAAAACACTAAGAATGCTCAATGTATAATGTGTTCTTGGTCTCAATGACGACTAAGTACTACATATAGGACCCCAAGATGCTGTTCAATCGCTTGCACTTCCGTTAAGCTTCCTCATCAAAGCTCATGGTATCTTCGTATGTAAAACCCCAATCCTCCTCAATACTTAGCAACGTAGCGGATTTGACAAGTTCTTTCACTTCACTATCTTTTAAATAATTCACGTCCAAGTCCTTGCTCGCATTTTGAGCATGGATGCTATGAAGACGCTCATCTGGTGGTGAAGGGGCTCTAAGCCGACGCACCGAACGGCGTCTTGTGCCGAGACTAGCGGCCTCGCTATCCTTTTGTCGTCGCTCGAAATGAGCCAGGAGAGGTGCTGAGGGGTCTTCATCATAGTGAGCTTCTCGGCGGTAGAGGTTGGTGGATTGGTAGTGGGGGCCTTGTACAACCCCTATAACGGGATTTGATGTAAGCTTTAGACATTGGCTGTCTAAATACGTTCGTCTTGAGTAATCAGCGATACCAGCGTCTGAAAGCTCATCATCAGTGAGCATCTCATCGTCCTCTCTCGCCGGGGTGGGTGGAGCTGGTTCCGGGTGTGGAATTAGGGGTATAGGCCGGCGCCGGCGCCGAGTGGTGCCCGGAAGTGTCATCATATGCGACTCTGGGATATCCCGCTCATCGGTTGATAAGATGAAGCAACGGCCCGTGGCATCGCCAATGGCAAGCTTGGCATTGTCCGGAGAAAACCCGCCCCAAGCGATCGGTCCAGGGGCTGTGAGAATATCACGGACAAAGGGGTTCTTCAGCTTACGGACATTCCAGACCTTCACGACACCGTCGCTCGACCCAGTGTAGAATCGATCAAGACTCGTGTTCCAAGCCGTGAACTTCACGCCCGTGTCCTCTTTCTCGCGGTCGCCGTAATACTCTTCGATAGGTTTCCCATGTCGCAGCGTATGGATGGGCTTGTCGCCCTGTGCTGTGTCCCATACGTACACCTTTCCGTCTGTACAAGCCGCGGTCACGTAGCCGTGTCCGGGCGAGTTGGGCACAATCGTGAGCTCGTTGATGTCAGACGCATAGCAGTCGAGAGCCTGATGCTGACAAAAGCCAATGCCGTTCAAGCGATCCTTATCACGATGAAAGACGTGGACTTGTGTCCTAACATTGCGGGGAACGTTGTTCATCCCTGTGGGTGTTACCCCTACAAGAAAAAGGAGTAACGTTGGATGCCAGGCGACTTCGAAGACGTTAGCCGTTGAAGCTGTCATCACAGGGATTCTGACACCCTGTTCTGCATCCCAGAGGATAATCTCTCCTGAACTCCTCTTGTCCTCGGGAATATCCAGATCGTCACCCGTCAAGCTGCGAGGAGAATACCCAACGAGAAGCAAATGCTGACAGCCCTTAGCTCGTCCCCACTGCATGGTTGCTGGGAAGTATGCCCACTTGTCTGAGCCATCAGCATCAGTCCGTGAGCACGAGAACGTCTGGTAAGCACTGTTCGACTCATTTCCTTTTGTAATGGTGTAGATACGAACGGCATCGGTTGGTGAATCTGCAGCCGTAGCCACACGACCAGATCCATCCTTTGCAGCAGCCACAAAGTTGACATTACCTGTGTGTTGCCATGTTGCAATGGCCTCCATGTGTTCTCCTTTCGGGTCAACCTTCCATACTTTGACCGTCTTATCAAAACTCGACGTATAAGCCAAGTCATCTTCAACGCTGTAGTCGCATGACACAACCGATGAGTACAGCCAAGGGTCCTGGCTCTGGCGCATGGCCTCTGTAGAATTCTCCCCTTTTTCGACCCGTGGGCGAGGTATTCGGTGATCGGGGAAGGACCGCAATGTCCCTTTTCCAGTTGAACAAAGAAGCAAGTTTCCAGGCCTGTTGTACTGTTGGTTATGCGTATCGGAGTGTGTAGTAGTGCCACATAGAAAGCCCTGTCGAGAGACCCATACACCTGTGGTGATATCACCAGCGCAATTGGTGAACTCAGCTACGACCTGGAGATCGTCCTCGCGCAATCTTTTAAATTCGGCTTGGAAGTTCAAATATTCCCGGGTTCGTTGGAAGCCCTGGTTGCCTTCCATTTCTCGAGCCATCAGTAGAGACGAAAGTCTGCTAGTCCTTCTCATTTGTCCTTGTCGTTTTTTTGTCTCCTCCGTAACATGCTCAGCAGTGAATGAAAGGACTCGTGGTGTCTCTGCGACCTTTCCTGCCCATAAGTCCGAAGCAAAAGCGCTCATGTCTCGTGTGGTTCGTCCAGGGATTGGTATCAGAGGGCGATCTCGTAGTCGGATCTGCTCCATCATAGATTCGCGGGTTGCCGGTATGTGCTTGTGCTCATTTTGTGGTATTTGGCCTATAATCTCGGCGATCTCCTCAGGGCTGAAGTCCACATGATAGACAATGGGCTGTGCGATAAGTTCATTGCTCACAGCCACAGGCTTCTTTGTTCCCTCCTCAATAGCTTGGCGATGCGCTGCCGAAAGATAGGGTCGTTCGGAAACCTGGTAATACCGATTACTGGGCTTCGGTTCCCGTCGCCCTCGAGGTTGATAAGGCTTCCTTTCGACATTTTGGGGAAGCTCTGGTTGCGACGTGAGCGCGTCGTAGAATATGGGAGAGTCTTCGGACTTATTCGTTGCTGCCGTGTTCACAATCGTCGGAGGTGTTTGGCCTTGCGGCGAAGGTTTTGGCGCTGGCCTCGGCGGTGGTAAACGCTGAGGCTCTGGTGTTTCTGAGGATAGAGGTGATATACGAAACTCCTTGCAAATGTTAGCAACAAGCCCCAGCCGCGACTTCGTCACACCCACAGAACCCCCCGCCAGACCCCTAACAACATCATGCGCCTGGATCGCAAGCACGTCTAGGTCCTGTTGACTCAAGTAGCCACCCGTCTCGTCCCATCTTCTTCTAAAGAACTTGTTGATACTGAGTTCTGTCACCGTCTAGACCCCTAGTTAGCCACAGAGCCTTCTGATATATATCCTTCTTTGTTACCTTGATAGCCAGGGCGTTAACATGGTAAACATCCCTCGAAAGATGTCCAACTGCCCTCTCTACAAGCGGCGTAACCTGGCTTAAGAGACACTCCTTGACACCTCGCTTTCTCTGTAGACCCGTACTAACGCGTCTCCTTTTTGGAGGTGGTTCATCGCAGGGGACTGGGAGGCTATTTAGTATGGGTATAGGAGCATGCGGCATGCCGCCATGCTTGACGAGTGGCCTTGTAATTGTTGTTGTTAGCCCTAAACCCATCAGGAAACGCGTAAAGGATTGGAATAAGAAGGAAAAAGGGCCAGAAATATGACGTTCAACGCGTAAAGGACGTGAATAACTTACTTCATAGCCCCATTTAGCGTTGATGCGGTGATAAGGTGGGTTACAAGCATTAAAAGAGTGTCTAGTAAGCCTAAAGAAGGAGAAACTATTAATCCGGGCTACTCTTAATAGCTAAGTTAAAATAATTACTAAATGCTAAGTTATAAGTTTAATAATATATAAACTAGCTTAATTATATTATTTAAGAAATTAGAACTTTTAAAGACTTTATAAGACTTAAAAACTTAAGGAATATTAAAGTAATAAGGATGAATTCTTATTTAATATCAATAAGAATAAAATAAAGTCATATTCTTAAGAAGATTAAGAACATTTAAATATAACACACTTAAAAAGGTCAATTGCTAGCTAGGAAAACATCTTTAAGAAGTAAGAGAGAGCATTAATCAATAAGTAGGTATGCCTTGATAGTATACTGTATTCATTTACAAGTTCAAGCCGCTCAATATCTTCAACATATATAGAAAATCTGGAATACAGCTCTAACGCCAAGAAGAAAAAAACACATTTGAGCTGATAATCACAACATATTTTACAGCTTGTTCTTTCCAACAGGCTCCTGAGCAGCAAGCTCCTCATACATACGGTCAATATGCTCCCTGTAGGCCTTGGCGGCCTGGGGGCGCTTAAGCTTAAGCCTAGTAACGGTGTCAGCACATATACTCCAAACGAGAAAAAACTTTAGAGGGCAAACTTACGTAGGGGTAAATAGACCGTTATCGATTGTAAAAGGATCAATTTCAAGGTGGGCATTGCGAACCTTCTCGAAGCTGTTGAACTTGTGCTTCTTGCCAATGCCGTCGAGGACCTTGAGGAACTTGGCTTTCACCTTGGGGTCGTTAGCAGCGACGCGGAGATCGGCGACCTGGTTGGGTGCGATGGTCTCCTGCAGAATCTTGCTGGCGAAAGGAGCAAAGTTCTCAACGTCGATACCAAAGATGGCGACCAATGAGGACTGAGTACCGTCACCGTGAACATAGGCGGCGTTGATTAGGTTGGTGCTGCCCATGTAGACGTTCTCAATACGCTCAGGAGAGATGTACTCACCCTGAGCAAGCTTGAGAACATTCTTCTTGCGATCGATGATCTTGAAGCGGCCCATCTTGTCAACCTCGCAGATGTCACCACTGTGGAACCAACCATCGGCGTCGAGGGTCTTCTCGGTCTCTTCGGCGTTCTTGTAGTACTCGCGGAAGATGACGGGACCGCGGAGGAGAAGCTCACCACGAGGGTTAGGCTTGTCATCCACGGTGTAATCAAACTCGGGAACCGACTCGAGGCAGAGTTCCACACAGCACATGGGGCCGCCGATGTTGCCGGTAGTAAAGTCACCGCGTGCCTGGATAGATCCGACGGCATACGTCTCGGTCATGCCAAAGCCCTGAGCGAAGTGGTTTGCGAAAGCGGCGCGCAGAAACTCTTGGACATCAGGATCAAGCTGGGCGCTACCGCTGACCATGCTGTGGACTCTGTCCATGCCCACGGCGGCCTTGACCTTGGGGGTCCAGATTCGGTCGTACAAGAAATGGGTGTTGGAGGCCTTTCCGGGAGGGAGTCGCATGTTGGCCTTCTTGGTGTCAATGACACGTCGTGAGAGAGCGCCTCGGACACCATCGGCTTCAATAGTAGCAGTGCGAATGGCAGAGTTGAAGCGGTTGAAGAGACGAGGAACTGAGATGAAACCAGTGGGCTTGAGGATCTTCATATCATCAACCAAGCCCAGAATGTCACCTCGGAAGAAACCAATGGCAGCGCCCTCAGCGACGGCGATCTGATCGATGAGTCGTCCGTAGATGTGGGCTAGAGGTAGATAGGACAAGTGGACGTCCTTGCTGCTCACATTGCCATTTGTTCGACCACCTGCGATGGCAGAAACAGCGTTTCCGTGGGTGATGAGAACTCCCTTGGGGTTGCCAGTTGTACCGGAGGTGTAGTTGATGGTGCAGATGTCATTGCGGCTGGGAGCACGAGGGGCGCGTCCAGACTTAGCACCAATCTCCTCAACCTGAGTCATGGAGTAGATCTGGATGCCATGTTGAGAAGCAATCTCATTGAGAACGGAGGCCTTGGTGTGAGAAGCCAATTCACCCTGCTCGAGCGGATCGAGAGAAACGATGAGCTTCAGACCGGGTAGCCTGGGAGACATCTTAAGAAGAACAGGGATGTGGGGGAGGGAGCAGACGACACAGGCGACCTCGGCATGGTTGATGATGTATTCTGTTGTGTCGGGACCAAGAGTTTCGTAGAGAGATACCGAGTAAAGTGATTGAGAAGCAATACCGAAGTCTAGGAGGGAGTGTGTCAGCAACTACAACCACATGCTCAATGTCTCTTATGCAGGTTCACGGCACAAGAGGGGCAACCTTACCGGCGATCTGCCACTCAGCCCTGTTCTGCGACCACAAACCGACGCCGTACTTTTCAGGAGAATAGTTGATGGCCTTGTGAATCTCAACGAGACCGGCACCGAAATTCTTCCTTCGGACGTCGAAATCACCGTAGTTGATCCAGTCGTACTTGTCCTCCCACTGCTGAGTCGCCTGGTTCCAATGGCGGGTTCCGAGACATCTCGAGTTGGGCCACTTGCGCGCACTCCTCTCAAGGACGTCGTGTGTCGAATTGATACCAGGCTCTAGCGCTGTGACGAGAGGACCATCGCCGACTGCCCAGTGTCTGTAGGCGGCGGTGCGGTTAGGTCGTTCTGTGCCGGGGACGGGAATACCGTAGGGTTTTCCGGGGGGAGGAACTGTGGTGAGCCTCTTGTATAGGGCGTCGTAGTCTTTTTGTGTCTGGAGAGCCATGGTGAAGATCGGAGGCGAGGAGTCAAGTTGTTGGAGGGGTTACAGTTCTGGCGAGGCGAGGCGAGGCGAGACAAGGACACAAAGACACGGAGCGAGTCGATTGCTGCGGGGAGAGAAGTATGCTTGGAGCTGTTCTGTTACCCAAGCGAGAGAGTGAGTGGGAAGAAGACAATGGGTTGGTTGGTTGAATGCAGGTATTCAGAGGAACACAAGCACAAGGAGCCAGTTGACTGATCCCTTGCAGATAATTCACTGGTAAGGCTTAATCACAGAGAACGAAATCAAAAGAAAAAAGGGAGGGAAGAGGTGGGAAAAGATGAACGAGATTAGTAGGATTGGGGTTTTTGAAGAAATTCAGTTCCAAGACCTTCTGGACAAGTTTCCGAGCCTGGCGAACGCCATCAAGTTAAGCGCAAAAGTGGAAGAGCGTAGACCGAGGCGCGTTGCGCAGTCTGGTACGCCATTACGCCCATGTGCCTCGGCAGCCCCAGATTTCGTGGAGTAGCACAGGCCTGTAGCTAGCAGAATATGGGATAGCGGCACTTGGAGAAGACCTGGGGGAGTTGATAAATTCCCCTGATTCATTCATCCCCCCCCGCGATACATCCATTGATACAATGTCTCTTGAATCCTTGAGGCGCGGGACGTGGCCCTTTTTGAGTCAAGTGAACCGAGGATGTGATTATAGCATCCACAGTTGGTGCTGTGTATGGGGTTTATTGGAGAGAATGCGGGGGACAGACTCATAATACCCTCTCTGCCTCATCTGAATTGAATGATCATTCAATCCAATATTTCAGAGCAACACTTTCAGCTCGTCAGCACTTGTGTCTATGGCTTGGAGACGCATCAGCAGCCAAGATACACAGCCAAGAACGAGAAGCAGCACAAGTGGGCATCACCAAACAGGTATACATGCGTAACACATCAGAATCCATCACTGGTTCTCGTCGTAAGCACCTTGTTGTACCCTCCGATACAATATAATGGAAGGCTCGGGCGCCCAACGGACGCTAGCTCTCCCGAAGACCTGGAGATCACTGTCGTCAGCTGCAGTTGGTCAGTTTTCACAGACCGGTACCTTCGGGCCCTTTAACTTTTTCTTGAATGTTTTTCGGTTACATGTGAATATCCATCGATGACAAAAATGTGGCTGAATATTGGACTGAACTGGCTCTTGGTGTTGCGGCCTGCTGATCTGTCGTTCCTCGTGATCCCTACCATAAGCAATTTTCTATTGGATGTTATATATCCTTGAGGATTGCTTTGTATCTTGCAACCGTATTCAGTTCTTGGTGTTTCGCCCGACACTCCTCAACTCTTCCTACATTTTACCGCAAAGAGACTAAAGTGCCTGCAATTGTAAGCGAAGTGTTTGACATCTGGCTCTTTCCAACGTGCCTCATAGTTCTCTCTTCCTGATTGGACCAGCCTGAGCAGTCATGAGTTTCGAACTTTCCAAACTTCAGCTCGCTAAGAATCTCTTTCTTCTCCCATCATCTGTGACCGAGTCTATTTCTATGCTTAAAAACAACCTCGAAACAAAAGCTGCCTCACTGCTAACAGGTTCAGCCAACTGACACAGTGACATTCAATCCTCGAAACGACGTCATCACCATCAATTATGGATCACCTTACCTAACACCAACTTTTCATTCAGTGTCAAAGCGGCTCGCGTCAACACGTGCACTTCTTGATGGCACTCACGATAGGATGAGTTGGCATAACCCGTGCCGATCACCATCACAGATTCGTCAGAAACATCGTATTTGGCGCCAAAAGCATGCCATTCATCAATGCTCCCCATCGCGGACGTTGTATTCGGCGCTTGTCGTCTCGACGAAACACACCCGATAACGATGGATCAAGCGATCTTTTCAGGTCAATTCAAGTTGAATAGCCACATTAGGACATGAAGCAACAGTATTGCTGCAATAAAGATATCTCATCTGGTAAACGTTACCAAGTTCTTAAGCCTCCTTTTCAATGTCTCAAGCATTTGCTGCTTAGGTATGCATAAATCCAAGATCTACCGAGATCTACAACAAACCCGTCTACCCCGTCTCAAACAACGACACTCGCGGGGCTTCCCTTTTGGAAATTACAGTTGTTTTATCTACATGGAAGTGTTTGATAAGAGAAATATCCCTTTTATGCGGTGGACGGTGGCGGCCCCTTACCACCATCAAAACGCTACGTTACTCGGCATAAGATACAACGAAGAAGAAAAAGAGGGACTGTTTCATATCGACCTCGACCCTGTCCGTGTCTCAGGCCCCTTTCGTCAAAACACGACCTGATGCAGAGAACCACCTTGACTCGACGAGATTGGACGTGTAATCGTCAATGCCTTTAACCTAGAGTTTCGACGATGTCCTAAAAAAAGAAAAGGCTCACATTCTTTTTTGAATTCGTTCTGTTTTCTTATTAGTGGCCCCTTGACGGGTCCCACGGTCTCTCTCTCGGGCCATCTCCCTTGGATCGTCCACGCCCCCACATGGTCCCGAGAGAATGTCTCGTCAGCAGGTCTTTGGTTTTATATCTATCGATTCCCACGTTTTCGCCCATCGGGCCTATTCTCACGACGATTCCTGTCTTTTTTCTTTCTCTTATCTTATATTATCGTTGGATTTGAACATACTTGAGTCGTTATCATCTATCACATGAGTTGAACTTGTAATCTTCAACTTTTACTCTCTCTACCTCTCTCTTTCTGTCTGCGCTGTTTCTTGGAACAAATAAACATTGCCACCATGAGTCGGATCGCTTTTCTGTCGCTGCGAGCCCTGCAGCTAGCTTTATCTATTTCTAGTATCGGTCTGAGCGCGTATGGTACGTTGACGATATCCATGATGGGCTTCCGTCAGGGAAGTAACTAATAGTCTCAGTTGTCAACGATTATAACCAACGAAGCCGAAACTCAGCGCCCTCGCCGTTTACTTATCTCATGGTCTCTTCCATTTTCTCGATTATTTCGGTCGCCTATCTCTCACTCACTCCTCTATTCGTACCGCGCATCTACCACCAATATGCCGCTGTTGTCGTCGAATCTGTCAACGCCGCTCTGTACTTTGCCGGATTCATCGCCATTGCTGTGTTCATCGGGTCGCTTATCATGTGTGAGGGGACTGTTTGCTCTTGCGCTCGTGCCGATGCCGTTGTTGCTGCGGGTCAGTTCACGGCGTGGATCACAACAACTGCTTTCACAGCCAAGGATTTATTTAAGAAGGCTTTCCAAGAACCCAAGAAGGATGACGAGGGTCGAGAAATGGGACAGGCATAGGAGATTGAGCAGACGGCACATGAACACCACATAACAAAAATCCGGGACTTGGTCCTCGAATGATGGAATTGAATCTCTATTGGAAAGGATAGATGGGTATTAATGAGGGCGTTTGGGCATTTTATGAAAGACAAAATAGCAGTGCTATGTTGAATAGCCTGGCTATACTGTCAAAGGAGTATATCGGCATAGGAGACATCATACCCAACCTGAATTTCTGGGCTGGAATGGGAAACTCGGCGTTTTCTGCGTTATAGTTTCGCAGCCCTCTGTAGCAGAGGCTGATGGCGCATTTGAAATGAAAGTCAAAGAAGCTGTTGAGTTGGACTGGCTTCTAATTCATTCAACCAAGGCCATTGAGCTATTTCGTTCGGTCGCTCCGGTGTATGTGAAAGTCACGACATGTGATGTGAGCCGAAGACCCCGAGACTCGGGTCGAAAGAGGAAGATGTGAAGTCGTACGAGAAACATCATACTTATATAATAAGCTGAGGTAAGGTAGTCGGCGTTTATACTAGTCAGTACCGGGTGAACGGGCCGGTCGGTGGCTTGAAGAGATATGTTTCTCGGTCAGTTTTTCGCTTGTGCTACGGTCGAAGAAGAGAATGGGAATGCAGTGCGTGGTAATTGCACCATTAGACCTGGGCCTTGGGTCATGGTGGGGGACATGAGGAGCGGAGGACGATATCATCTGATGTTATATCTTGCGTGGGAGGTGCAATACCACGTTCAGCTGATTGGGCTATACACTTGTATCAGTTTACGTGACATTCTCTCTGCTGCAAATGTAAGAAGCTTATCTATTTCCTGGAAACCAATCGAGTTCCTGTCCTAGTATTACACTGTGGCATTCGTCAACCCCGCATATCACCATCATGACAAGCCTAGCAAATTATACAAAATACGTAATTATTTCATCTCCTGCCGAGAAGCCAAATCATTAACGGTTCTCGGCGGTTCTCGGTTATTGCACAATTCATACTTTTGCAGCTGTCAAACGACGATCAAGCCATTAGCTTTCTCAAACAGTAAAGACAGCTCAAGCAAAAGCGTGGGGAGCTCGATGGCGTGCTACGCGGGGTCCTAGTGAGCCATGCCCAAAGAGGCTTGGATACACAAGAATAAGAGCACTCGAAAGTGCATGTTGGATGAGTTGTGAGCGAGTATAAAGGGGGAATGGGTTGATCTGTGAATCGCTGCTTTTGTTTACTCTTTATTCTCCTGTTGTTCATATAGATTAGATCCTTTGATACGGGAAACCTGATTCATCATGGCTGATCAACTTAGCAAGAACTTTGAGACACTGCAGCTTCACGCGGGGTACGTTTTATTCATTGTTAGCCTCGGCTTTGGTGCTGGGCTTTTCGACTACTATACAGTTGTAGTTGAGGGCATAGAATTGTTTAGAAGAACTCAACTGACTCGTTTCCTTCAGAGCTGAGGTTGATCCTACCACCAAATCGCGAGCTGTTCCCATCTACGCTACAACCGTATGTTCTCCCAAGCCTCATGACGCTCTCGTCATGGATTACTCACTAATACCGTATTTAGAGCTATGTCTTCGATGACTCTGCTCATGGAGCTAGGCTCTTTGGCCTCAAGGAATTTGGCAACATTTACAGCCGTATCATGAACGTGAGTTCTCAACTCCCCACCCGGCTTAACTCCCCACTTACACTACAAGCCAACTGTCGATGTCTTCGAGAAGAGAATAGCAGCTCTCGAAGGCGGTGTCGCAGCCCTCGCAGCCTCATCAGGCCAGGCTGCTCAGTTCCTCGCCATCAGCACCCTCGCTCAAGCTGGCGACAACATCGTCTCCACTTCTAACCTCTACGGCGGCACTTACAACCAATTCAAGGTCTTCTTCCCTCGTCTGGGCATCAAGACCAAGTTTGTCGATGGTGACAAGCCTGAGGACATTGCGGCTGCTATTGATGATAAGACAAAGGCTGTCTATGTTGAGAGTATTGGAAACCCCAAGTATAACATTCCTGATCTGGAGGCCATTTCCAAGGCTGCTCATGAGAAGGGTGTTCCTGTTATTGTAAGTCAACAATTCTGTAATCTGGTGTCCGCTGGGCTAATGGTGATTTTAGGTCGACAACACTTTTGGTGCTGGTGGCTACTTCATCCGCCCTATCGACCATGGTGCTGATATCGTCGTTCACTCTGCCACAAAGTGGATTGGAGGACATGGAACTACAATCGGCGGTGTCGTCGTTGACTCTGGAAAGTTTGATTGGGGCAAGAACGCTGCTCGATTCCCTCAATTCCACGAGCCCTCCGAGGGATACCACGGTCTCAAGTTCTACGAGACCTTTGGCAACATCACTTTCATCATCCGCGCCCGAGTCGAAGTCCTCCGTGATCTCGGTTCAACTCTCAACCCCTTTGCTGCTCAACAACTACTCCTCGGTCTCGAGACTCTCAGTCTCCGCGCTGAGCGTCACGCCCAGAACGCTCTCGCCCTTGCTCAATATCTTGAGAAGAGCCCCTATGTCAGCTGGGTCTCATACCCTGGTCTCGAGAGCCACCCGTACCACGAGACGGCTAAGAAGTACCTCAAGAGAGGCTTTGGTGGTGTTCTGAGCTTTGGTGTCAAAGGTGGTGGTGCCGGAAGTGAGGTTGTTGATGGCTTCAAGCTTATTTCTAACTTGGCGAATGTTGGTGATGCTAAGACACTTGCTATTCACCCCTGGAGCACCACCCATGAGCAGCTCTCTGATGATGAGAAGCGCAGCTCCGGTGTCACTGAGGTATGCATTCCTTGGCACTTGATTTGAGTTTAACTTACTAACAAAAACAGGATTTGATCCGAATTTCGGTTGGCATCGAGCACATTGACGATATCATCGCCGACTTTGAACAGTCTTTCAAGGCTGCTGCTGATGCCACCACCAACGGTCAGAAGAAGGATATTCCTGTAGGTGACAAGGAGGCTGAAGCTCCTCTTGCCCCTTAGAGAGATGCAGGACTGAGTGTTTGGAAGGGACTGTGATTAGGATTGATATGTTGAAATACCCACCAGGAGATTGAAGAGTGAGAAAGCGATAGTGTTTATCATGAAATTGTGCGATACCATTGGCTTGTGAACTTGCTGAATAATGACAAAGGAATATCCATACTGCTAGAAATGTCTCCTTGCTTGTATGTAACTTATGACGACGCCGTATCCCTTCTCGTGGCCTATACTTAGCGTTTCATTCTTTGAGGTTGTAACCTCGCTGCTTCGGTCCAACCTTGCACCCCATCTTCACCAGCCATGACACGCGCCTGGTCGAGGGTGATGTTTTCATAAACGGGACTCTCCTCTGCATCGTGTGTTTCCTTGTCTATCCCTTCGATCGCGGTAACATGCTGACGAGTCCCCTCACTCTTGGATTCGTCATCAGGAGAGAAGCTCCGGCGATCGATGCAAGTAGGCTCATCCTGTAGTCTCAAAGCAAGAACCATATGGATACCAAGAACATCCTTGACCTTTCCATCAATCTCAAACACTTTGTCAGGCCGAATTGAAAATCCATCCTTTTCGTCGCCGATGATTCCAACCTGCGCGCACAAGATAGCATTATCAAGGTTATCTCTAGTCCTAATAACCCACTTGGGCATGGGTCTGAATGAATGGATATATCTCTTTGGAACCATGGCGTCCGGCCCATTCTTCTCTACAGCCTTCCTTTTCTTCCCGACTACTCGGACTGCTTCCCAACTTTGATAGTGGACACTCCTGATAGTGCCCTTTATCTCTCTAATCACTGCTGCGGTGCGAAGCGACTCCTCTTGTTGGATGAGAGCGACCGACTTATCGAGTTCTTCGAGTTCAATGGCGGTTTCGACGAGAGATGGAAAGTCGTCGCCAATCTCTGAACGGGCATTTTGAAAGTCTTGTATGAGTTTGCGAGCGTTTTCGATGAGCTCATCGTGGCTCTTGACTCTCCCGATGAAATGACCACTCTGCCATGACTGGAAGATGAGTTAGCTTAACTCCAGAATGAACTGAAGTAGGGTATCGTTTACCTTTTTGCAATAATATTCCATTCTTTTCTGAATACTAAATGAAGAATGTAGGCAACAGATGAGAATTGTCACGGCCTGCCATATTGGAGGCTGATGTTGTGACTCACGTTCACAACTATGAGATCTACAGTCCCGTGACCACCCCGTCACGATCCTATCATTTCAGTCGTCAGCCTGAGGCACTGAAACGTATCGAGCTGTCTCCAGTCGCTGGGAACAAGTGAGAGCCATTCCTTCGAACAGGGACATGGTAATCAAGCTACCCTGCATGTGCCAAGGTGCAGGAGCCCTGGTGGTGTCAAGATGACGCAGCAAACTAGACCTATCAACGACATGTTGTCTTTACTAGAGTTCATCAGAATATTCAAAGAAATAGGGTTGTGTCTTTTCCCACTAAAGTATAAAGGCAAACATAACTATCTGAATTACGAGTATGGCAAGGCGAGTGTGGGATACACGTAGGATGCTTTCGGTATAAGGATCAGGATGGAAAGAAAAACGAGGCCAGAATTTTGAACTCTTATGAACCGATAAAAATGCACGTGTGCCAGCCAATTGGACATGTCTAAAGATGCCAGTAGCTTCCAGCATCCATCATTCTAAGATGCCCAGCTGCACAAGGTGAAGGTACAACGCACCGAGAGTGAAAGAATTGAATGGAGTGAGCTGTAAGACCTCAGCTTCGCAACTTATATTTAAAAAGCACTTTCGTACTCTGGTCAGCTATGAAACTTGACCAGCCGTGATAGACACGACCATATCAACGTCAGCGTACTATATTGATGAGTGCTAGTATAAACATGTGACTTATACACTGTTGCATCTCTCTCGAAACTGCAACGAGTCCAGAAAATAATAAGAAATTTCACGTCCATCATGAGTTTATTCATATTGTAAACCGGTACCTTGGCCCCATGAGTCTGATGTGGATCGCAGAATCAGGATACGGGATGACCCCTTTACAAGCTGTAAGGAGTCAAGTACAGAGAAAGAGGATTCAGCAACCGCCATCTAGTATATATCACTCTTAAACCAATGTGACGCCTTCATATGTGGCACAGCGTTGGTGATTTTATCCTATGTGAATAAAGACCCAAAGAAGAGAGACCATGACCGGATACTGGCCATCAAAACATGGACAGCACTTCCATACTATCAATGGCCACAGCCTATCTTTTTTGAGGGACCTGACTCGTTCCCTATTAATGCGACATGAATTGACTCACTCACGTGTAAAGTCGTTAATAATGATTTGGAGAGACATAAACGTCGTTCCACTCGAGACATACTGGCACCTTATCTCTAAAGCGTGACTTGGGTTAGAAGTACAATCAACTACAATCAATAGAAAGATTTGCGACTCTTATTTGAACTCTCAAGAACCAAATATCAGAGTGGCCCCAGCCGCATGGGTATATTGCTCCTGTAGAAGCAGTTTTCCTTGAGGATGTAGATAGTTTTCACGTGGTTGATCTCAATGTTCGCACAACAGATTCTTTCTGTCTGCCATTACTACAAACGGATTTTACAACCTGACAGCTTTAAGTTACATAGTACTTCTCTATTGATGTGCAACAGCATGGTGACGGGTTTCTGGATATATTCATGGCTGAGTTTCGAGAAGGTAGGATGTGTGTGATGATAAGCTGGTATGAAGACCAAGAAACGGGGAGTGGTTTCGCGGAGCTAGTTTTTGTAGGAAAAGATGACGATAGGTCTTTGAAGGGAGCTCATGGATCGTATTAATAAGATGGCGAAGAGTGTTGTTACCTCTTAGCTTGAACCAACATGCTTGGATAATATCGATGGATGATATGCGAATGTACTATCGCAATTTGAGATTACCGTATTTCACTAGATGCAGATTCAGCTCGTATAGAGAATGCAGGGTCTTGACGGAGAATATGATCCGAATGTCATCGCAGGATAGGTCGAAGAGTCAGTGGTTGGTGGAATATGAGAGAGCGGGGGATCGTCACCAGGCGGCCGACCCTTGGGTGTTAGTGGCATAAGACAGTCTAGAATAGCTTCAGCCACTTGAGCTGAGGTACAAATTGTGAGAATAAGCAATGATTACAAAGCCTCAAAAGACGAGCAATCAAGCATATTTCTAAGTCTATTTCTTAGTCTGAATACGACTCTTTCCAGTATGAATAATGATGCGCTTGGGTGGTGTAGCACTCAAGCTTTCAGCTTCAACCAACCACCATAAAATAGCTGCATGAGCATGGCTTGGTAATAGTCCAGTCAGCTCTCCCTCATCAACTAGGCGCGGCTGAAACAAAGGTTAAAATCTCTATCCATCTTAGCAATCACACATATAGAGCCGCCTCCTCATTCTTGTCTCCCACACATCTCTCAATCTCAGTTGAAGCAAGATGAACTGTAACGAGCTCCAAGAACACTCCAGAGCAGATTGCTTCCTGGTCAAAAAGCCGAGGGCGCTGCAATGGTTCTATAAGGGACAGCTTGTCAAGGAGAAAGAGGAGGAGCGCCAGGCTGGTCGCTTCGAACTGTTCCTGGATCTTTTATGTAGGTATCTCCGTGCGATCATCCTGGCTCTGACTTACATTCTGTAGATGTCGCGATTGTCGCCAACTTCAGCGATGAGCTTGCTGAACATCCTGATGGTGCTCATCTAGCAAAGTACATACTCATCTTTGCGCCGGCATGGCATATCTGGGCTGATCTCCGTGAGATCATGAACTCGTATTATACCGATGATTTACTGCAGCGACTCGTTATTCTTTGGGTCATGGCGCTTCTAGTGCTGTATGCGAACAACGCCAACGATGCAGATGAGGATATTACTGCAATGCGGACTACCGTTGGAGCGTACCTCGTAGCCCGCTTCACCACCCTCAATGTATTCCTTGTTACCTCGTTTGCAGCGTATCAGCACCGCACACAGGCCCGGATCATGGCTGGCTTCATGTTTGTCGGTCTTCTCATTACCATTCCGCTTTTCCTTGAAGACATAAGCATTCGCGCAAAAGCCGCCATTGTCGCCGTGGGCATCTTCTATCAAGAGGCGACATGGGCGCTTACTCTGAGTCCCTGGATCAAGGCTAAGCTACATCTGACTTATAGCACTGCTGTTGACATTGCGCACGAGATTGACCGAATGGGCGCTTTCTTTATCATCATCCTCGGCGAGTTTGTATACAGCATCATTGTTGGCAACAAGACGGGCATTGGTTTGACTTCAGGATACGCCAAGGCTGTCTGCACGCTGATTATTGCGTTCGTGCTGAACTGGGTATATTCCAGCGGCGATGGCAGTATTCAAGCAACACATCCGATTCGACGATCTGCTTGGACAGCCTTTGGCTTCTTTCTCCTGCATCTACCTCTATCAGCATCGTTTCTCATCGGAGGCCACATCGCCGCTGCGAGCACTGCTATTGAAGACTTTGAAGACGGGCAGCGCTGGCTTCTTGGCGGGGGGCTTGGAGTTGGTATGTTTTGTCTCTGGATCTACGGGATGTTATACCGGGTCGAAGGGGAGTGCACTCTTTTCATGGGACAGACGACACGGATCAGTATGAGGTTGATAATTGCGATCATTCTTGTCGTTATCCCGGAGTCACATAACCATCTCAATGCTGAGAGTTTTATGTTCGTTATCATGGCTCTGTTTGCTTTCCTCTTGATATGGGAGACCATTGGGGGCTTATCCAGGACTTCCAAGTTCTTTGAGCCTTGGACGAACAGAAATCCGCCGCCGGAGGAGGATGACAGAGAAGGTTTGGCGGGCGAGTAATGGGATTGTAAGGCACCTTTCGGAAAAAGAATTGGCATATTGGATCGTGTCCGGATCATGGAGAATGATAGTGGAACCCTTCTCATGCAGGACATTGATCGACTTGAAGCTATAGTGCACCGCCACAGCAAGCGATCGCCACTGTCTGCGTCATTCGTGGCGTATGCTAGCTATATGGTGGAAGCTTTCAGGAAGCCGCGGGTTCAATACGATTAATACCTTATTTTGGGATCTGGAGGAAAACGCCGTGAGGCAGCCTATGGATACCACCTTAGACTACTAAGGTTGTCACCTTTGCGCAGCAATGTGCTTGAGTGACATGCCATTGAATACCCCGTTTAAAATCCGAGAGAGAGCTAAGCTATTCCAGGATCATCAATGCATGCGCAAGCAACTCCAAGACGTGACCTGCAGAACGCACTGTAATTGTAACTGCAGCTGTGATTTTAGGCCACCTTGGCGCATGTCACTCATCTACCTTACCCATCCAATGGACATATTTCACTTCAACTTGGATGCTTCTAGAGTCAGTCGCTCGCTAATGAATAGAAGGCTTGGTCGGAGACCGGACGAGGAAGCCGCGGACAAGGTGGCTGTGCTTTCTCTACATGATATTAGCTCTTGCACCAATGGCGTCACCTGTGCTTCGCATGTTGGGGGAGGGGCAACCGGGGTTTCGGTGATTGCCCCTCCAGCTCCAGATCCAAACTCATGTTGCTTCTCCAAGTGGCGTTGACGCGAAACATTCAAGGTCACAAGTGGCAGGTGCCAGATTGCCAAGGGAAGTAGGTAATGTGCTTAAATAGTCCCTCGTAGTCTTAGCTTTTAGCCTTAACTTACCTCATCCTTGGCTCTCACGTCTTGATCTCGATATTCAACTTCCCCTCTTTGCCTTGACCTTACTCATTCCTTGTACTACACAACCTACTTATACCCACCTGCTACATCATCGACTCTTGTTGATTCCTCAGACGTGAACCTACGACAAATTTCTCGCACAACATCGTTGCTGCACTCTATAACAACATCTTTATCGATCGTGTACTTTTTCAAATCCTACTTCGATGGCCGACTTTGCTCCCCCGTCTGGTCCGCCTCCCCCTAAGGCCCCCGAGGTTCCTGCCGGATGGGCCGTGCGATGGAACGACCAATACAAAGAATGGTAAGAGCTTCACTTTGTCTACACGCGCGCACAGCGTCGCTAACATGCACACTACAGGTTTTACGTCAACATTTACACAAAACAATCGCAATGGGA